GGACCGATCATGATTTGGGCACCTTGCAGTCACTGAGTGTACTGTGACCTCACCAAAGTGTTCTAGAGCCAAATGTGAGGCTGTGTCCCACAGCTAAAGCAAACTGGGTCATCAACAGGACGACGATCCCGAGCACAGCAGCACATTTCCAACTTAAAAAAAGGAGGAGCTGCAGTGATCCAGACCTCAGCCTGACTGAGAGGCTGTGATCTTTTCAGTCTTTTCTGTGCATAAATGAATGTTGCAAACCTCAATGATCTGATCGACGCTATAAAGAAGAGTGGGCCAAAACTCCTCCACAGTGATGTGACAGACTGATGAAGTCACACAGGAAACCATCACTGCTGAAGGAGGTTGCATTTGAAAATGATTAGGCACATTATCAAAGATGCACAGCAGAGGTTTGTGCAGACATATTTACTCATTATTGTAGTGACGATGAAGGTAAAAGTACCGTTCTTCCTTCCCGGACCCATAACGTGAATCAGACTATTAGTTGTGCTCTGGTGGGCGGAGCTGGAGATGCTGATTGTGTTGTTGCCGTGCATGGAGCCTTCAGTGAAGCTGTGTGACTGTGACGTAGAAGTATAACCTGTGGAGGAAAAAGTCTTTAAAATGTTGCTTTGAGGCAAATCCACCAAACCTTTGGAGCTGATCTGACTGATGATGTTTTCATATCTGTGAGCACAAAAGTTATTCAGTTACAAGCGAGACGGCTCAGGATGGCTGCTGAGGACTCTGGCATGGAGCAATGTGTGAAATACTGATGTTCTGTCAGATGCTGCAGGCGTCTCACCATTGCAGACAAAGTGTCCTGACTCTTGGGTTTATTTGTGTAACCTTGTGTTTTCCTTTTGCTCCTGATTTCGGTGCTCATAGTTAGTTAATTAGGTTTAGGTAGAAGTTGTAGTTTCAGTTCAAAGCACCGTCCTTCACAACATTAAGCTTGCACACTGCCACTCACCAGTCAACACAGACAGCCAGTCAGTCACACCCGATGGGTACTTTAGAGTCACCAGTTAACCTAAACCCACTAAATGTATGTCTTTGGACTGGGAGGACGTCGGAGTACCCGCAGAGCAAACACTGGAAAAAGTGAACACGGCCACATGGTTGATGTTCTTGCTGTGAGGCAACGGAGTTAACCACCATGCTGCAACTCCTCTGGCTTCCACTGGTCCGTTGCCTCGCTCTGTGGGCGCAGTAAACACTTTCCTGATGGGTTTATGGTCTCAGTCGCTGGTTTGAAGTCTTGTTGAATAAAACGTGGTGTTAATTTAGAAATTTATGATCCAATTAGAGATAGAGGAGGACGTGCTTCAACGCAAGTCATAATTGTGTGACTGTGCAGCGTTCCTCAGTTTCTCAGTCACGTCCATCGATCACTCGGCACGTCCAGTTTTGAACTGCGGTGTTGGATCAACACAAATGAGACTGGAGCCTTTATGTTCTTCAAGTTCATTCTCAATCTGACGTTTTATACGGTCGGTTTTAAATGTAGAAGTAATGGCACATTAGGTGTTGTTTCACAAAAGCATTCATACTCATTACAGCTGCAATTAACCCCCAAATGACATCGGATCATTGATTAAACAGTCTGCAGAGCTGCAGGAAGGGAGAATAATGAAAGAGTGGTGCAAAAGTGAGAGCCGGGACTGAACCAAAATTACAAGAGAAGACACCTGAAGCTTCTTTAAATGGATCTGTTTCATTACAGCCTGATAGACTGCGAGCGTGATTTTCTCTCTTTTTTTTTTTTTTTTTTTTGATAATTGACATTTTAGAGCAGCGCGGGCTTCTGTGTGCAGCAGGAAGGCGTAGGAATACTGATTGTGCTGTTAGTCCTGTCATCAGGTCACAGACGAGCCCGCTCACTCTTTAATTACATTTTAGATTCATGTCCTAATCAGACGCTGAGATGCTCACCTTTTGGCTGCATCACAGCTTCACTTCAGTTCACCAAGGTGTGAGCAAATTCACATTTAACCTTGAAAAGATGAAATATGACCATCCTCTTCAGATTCTGTCAAACAGGCGCTTAGAGGAAACAATCAAAGAGCTGATTTTAGCTACAGTCATACATTTATTCTTATTTCAGTTTAGTTCCCAACAGGAAGCCAGGGGAGAACAGAGGAAGGAAGGATACAAGCACCAGGTGGAGAACAGGTAACAGGAAGGAGTGGGTTAAGGGTCATTCGGCTCATTTCCAGCAGCGTTTTCACTCTGTTATAGGAGAAGCGGAAAATGGCCCATCAGTCATGAGATGGGCTTGACAGGGGTAAGTGTTTCGTGGTTAAGAGGTGACCCAGTTGCCAAAGAACACCTGAAATTTGGTCCATGTGAGCTGAAGCTATGGCTAAATTTAGTCAGCCAGACCGACCCTGAATCATAGCTGTCAGCCAAGTCTGAATGCAGCCCACATTTAGGCCAAACACCGATTGCTCTCTAGGTTAGAATAACTGCCCATAGGTGATGCAACAGTAGATTAACAGGAATCATGAGAATAAAAGTACAAATTAGACATAAAAGCTATTCTTCTGAATGCACTGTTGAGCTAACGGGACTTCCAGAATCTCAGAGAGTTTCTGCAGGACTGACGTTGAGTTTCTGTTCTTTTTCTTTCACCACAGGAAACATAAATCGTCCTCAGCATCAGTGTGATCAGAGTGTGTCTTCATCTGCTGTTCAGCGAGTATGGCTCTGTGCGTGTGTGGGCGTCGGTGTTTGGGCTGGTTATAGATGGGCCCGCCTGCTGCCCGTGACACTGCACGGGCTGAATTATAGCTCGTGTTGTGGCTGCTGATCTGTGACCTGCAGGGTCCCGTGAGCTCTGATGAACTCACCGAGGCCCGAGTGTGCCAGGAAGAAATATAATGAAGCCAAGAGGACACTCGAAACTGAAACTAGAACAATCTGAGAAAGAGTCACACTTTTTCTTTTTTACACATTCAGTATCGCTCCACATCACAAAGTTATGAAGGTTAGCAACCACGAGCAAGAGAAGTTTAATCACATGACCAACTTGTAATTGACAATTAGAACTTCTTTCTGACTCTCAATAATCCCAGAACATCCCATGGAGCCACCCTGTCCGAAATCCTCACTCTGATCAAAATACAAGAGAAAGCGAAGCACTTCCTTAAAAACTGTACTCAAAAACACATAAACTAAAAATGCTGTTGGATACAAATTGCTAATGCTACCCAGTCATATGCAAAGTGTTAAGGCTAATATGTGACCCACCTGCCACTGAGACAAACCTTAATACAAGAGCAGTAAATCTAGGTCAGAGCAATGAGTAATATCACAAACTAACCACCTGCTGTTACCAGTTTTAATTCATGATAAGAGGCAACGAGTCTTTTACAGCTGTGGAGGAATTTTGGCCCATTCAACTTTGCAGAATTGTTATAGTTCAGCCACACATGAGCAGCCTTCAAAGGTCATGTCGCAGCATCTTAATCGGATTCTGGTCAGGACTTTGAGTGGCTTAAGAAAAGCAAAATGAAGACTCTGGATCGGCCTAGTCAGAGGTGGACTTGCTGGTCTGTTATGGTTTGGTGTAATGGGACACACACCTTCCAAAAACTTCAGCTTTTGTCTCGTCAGTCTACAGAATATTTTCCCAAAAGTTTTGGGGATCATCCAGATATTTTTCTTTATGTTCCTTTTGCTCAGCATTGGTTTTCTGCCATGCAGGCCATTTTTGCCAGGTCTCTTTCTTACGGTGGAGTCATGAACTCTGGCCTGCAGTTCTTTGGACGTTGTTCTGGGGTCTTTTGTCACCTCTTGGATGAGTCGCCGCTGCGCTCTTAGGGTAATTCTCTTCAGCTGGCCAATCCTGGGAAGGTTCACCACTGTTCCATGTTCTTGCCATTTGTGGAAATTGGCTCTCACTGCGGTTTGCTGGAGTCCCTCTGCTTTAGAAATGGCTTTATAACCTTTTCCAGACTGAGAAATCTCAGTTACTTTGTTTCTCATTTGTACCTGAATTTCCTTGGATCCCGGCATGATGTCTGGCTTTTGAGGATCTTTTGGTCTGCTCCACCTCGTCAGGCAGGTCCTATTTAAGTGATTTCTTGATTGTGAACAGGTATGACAGTAATCAGGCCTGGGTGTGGCTAGAAACTGAATTCAGCTTTCCAAAGATGTGATACATCACAGCTAATTTATGTAATGACGGGACAATCAGTTTTTCACACAGGGGTTTGGATTATTTTCCTTTTAATAACAAACACCATAATTTAGAAACTGCATTTTGTGTTTACATTTGTTATCTTTGTCTAATATTTGAATTTGTTTGATGATCTGAAACTGTGACAAACATACATTCGAAAAACCCCATGACATAACACAACAATGGAGGACATCTAGGCGATGTTTTGTCAGACTGCCGGAGAGATCGGGTGTCTTGGCTACACCTTGGTGTCCCCTTAGAAATGGTGGAGGAGGTGACTGTGGAGATGGGTGGATGTCTCTGCCCTCGTGACCATGACCCAGATTTTTGTCAGAAAATGGATGAAAATCCCAAAGCAGAGAACTCTTTCTTAAATGATTAGAACGATCTAATCATTTAAGAAAGAGTTCTCTGCTTTGGGATTTTCATCCCGACTCCAGCTCTGTGCTATAAACATCTTTTGTTTAATGCGATGGAACAAAAGCAAATGAATGTGACTAATACAGCTTTTAAAACAACTTAATAACGTCTGGCAGTGTGCAGCAGTGTGCAGAGGATCATCTTGAGTCACTGTGTCTTTATTTGTGAGCCTGACGTGGTTTCAGTTCGTATCAGTCCGCCACACTAACGTTCATTTTATCCTTTTCTCTCCCCCCATGCATTCATTTCCATCCTTGTCTCCTGCCCACTAATCGCCTCATCCTCTGCACCTGCTCCCCCCCCTTTATTCCCAACTCGATTCACCTTGTTTCCTCCACCTCTTCTTCCCTCTTTACATCTACATCTCCCTCTCTCCTTCCTCTCCCTTTCTCTCTCCTTTCAGGTGAGAAGTGTCGGAGCTTCATTGATTTGGCCCCGGCATCGGAGAGAGGTGAGTGATGATGGTCATTAGGCAGCTTCGCCACTCCCTGCCGCTCCCCACCTGTTCACTGGGCCAAGGGGAAAAAACCACACACACACACACACACACACACACACACACACACACACACACACACACACACACACACACACACACACACACACACACACACACTTTCATTTTTGGACTCTTTCACTGTTTCAGAGGGTTTTCACCTGTGGTGCACTAAGAAAAATGTGAATTCTGGACTTTCAGAGTTTATTACCTCTCACCTCCTGGACGACTGTAGTGCTGTGCCCTTGTGTGTTATTAGTTCACATCTGAATTGACAATAACAAGCGTGTTTGTGTGGGACACGTCACCAACGCTGCACGGTCATTTTGACATATCAAACTTGAAATAAACTCACAGTAGAGGTTACAGGTTTGGTGTTTACCTTGTGATTTTAATCTGAAGGAGACTTTTCCAACTCTCTCTGGAGATAAAAGCTGAAGTTTCTTTCTTCTTCCTGCATATACTCTTTATTCCCTTTTTCTATCCCTGAAACTGTTAAACTTCTTTTAACTACTAAGGAGTAAGTAAGTAAAATTTATTTATATAGCATATTTCACAGATAAAAATCACAAAGTGCTTCAGAATAAAATCAGAAATACAAATAAAATAATATAAAACAGTGAAAAAAAATGTTTGCATAAAAATGTCTTCAGCTGCTTTTTAAAGGAGTCGATGGAGTCTAGACCGCGTAACGACGTAAGGTTTCAGCAGGTCAGAGATATAATGGGGAGCTTCACCGTGCAGATCTCTAAAAGTTACAACTAAAATTTTAAAATGACCCCTAACATTTACAGGCAACCAATGAAGAGAAGCCAAAACTGGAGCAATGTGTGGCCTCTTGTTTGTGCCAGTTAAAAGTCTTGCCGCTGCATTCTGTACAGACTGAAGGCGATCCAGAGCTGATTTGTTGAGACACGTAAAAAGACCGTTACAATAATCCAAACGAGAAGAGATAAAAGCATGAATCATCTCAAGTTCTGCCTTTGACACACGTCTGAGTTTAGAAATGTTTCTTAGATGATAAAAACAGTTCCGCACAAGTTGTTTAGTGTTTCTCAAGAGACATTGAACTGTCAAATATACGTTTCTGAGACACGACTGAAATGAAGGATCTAAAAAAACTGAAGTGCTGCTTATTTTCTCAGAGCATGTGATCAGGTGCAATAATCAAGGTTTCTGTTTTATCTGCATTTAACTGGAGGAAATTGTCATTTAACCACTGTTTGATCTCAGACAGACAATTATTTAAAGACGACAATTGATGAAACTCAGAAGCTTTGAAAGAACAGTACAACTGAATGTCATCAGCATAGAGATAAGAAATATGTAAAGTCTGATAATTTGGCCTAGAGGGAGGATATACAGCAAAAAGAGAATCGGACCTAAAACAGATCCTTGAGGTGCCCCAGAAGGCAGAACTGATGTTTCAGACAACACATGATTCATACAGACAGTAAAAGATCTCTCAGATAGATGCGACATAAACCATTTAAAACAACACCAGTAATCCCAAACAAGTCCTTCAGCCTATTTATCAGGATGCTGTGATCAACAGTATCAAAAGCAGAGCTGAGATCCAACAGAACCAGAACGCTGTACTCTCCTGACTCTGCTGCCATCAGAGACACTTTAAGCAAAGCGGTTTCAGTGGAGTGTAATTTGCAGAACCCGGACTGGAAAATACCTGTAACTGCTTGGAAGAGATGGGTCCAAATTAGGTTTCTTTAACATTAGTTCAACAATAGCTTGTTTAAAATAGCTGGAAACTGAGCCAGTATAAAGAGAAGTATTAATTATTTCCAGAATGCAGGAGCCAATAGAGTCAAACACACTAACGAAGAAGTACATCAAGGTGGCTTGAAGTCAGTTTCATCTGACCAAGCAGACACTGATGTCCTGTAAGGTAACAGGAGTAAAAGAGGAGCAGGTATCAGAGGTAAGCACGTGTGATACTGAGAGGATGATGGAGAAATATTCAACCTGACGGCAGCGACCTTATTAACAAAATAGTTTAAAAAGTCATTACAATCAGATTTAGTATAGACTGGTACATGAGGAATATCAGGAGAGACAATGTTCTTAATCGTATCAAACGACACTCTGGGATTTTTCTTTTTTTAAGCTATTAGATTAGCAAAACATTTTTTATCCTGTCGTTAAGTGAGAAAATTGATTCCTTGAGATGTACCCTATGGACCTCAAGCTTGGAAGCCTTCCATAAATGTTCTAACGGCCATCTCCTGCTTCCAATTATCTCTGTCAGGTCAGCGGGATGCATCTGACAAAACTCAGTGTCTCAGTATTCCTGCTCACTTGACTTTCTTTGTGGTATCTTCCATCGTATCCATCTGGAATCATGGTGATCTGCAACTTTCACTGTTAAGCTGCAAAACCCAGGTTAACTTCTACTTTACTGCTTCCTTCACTTCCATCAGGAAATAAAACTCACTGCAGGAAAGTGAAATTCCTTTGAAGCCGATCAAAATGTGGGACATCGGCTGAATACATCAGACAAGGAGGCTGAATAAAAATGTCCCACATAAACTGTGACATCTGCTCGGCCAGACTGTAGAGCTGCAACTGCCTTTCCAAAGCTCGTTCTACAGGAAGTATGCGGAGAGTTGGGACATGCTACCTTAAATAAGGTCACGTGGACTAACCTTTGACCCCTTTCTGTAATTACAGCTGGTGCTGAAGTTTGTGGTACCATGCAGGTAAGATTGATGCAATCTTCCAAAAGTAACATAGCTGCATTTTTGTTTTGCTTTTTAAACTGCATTTACCACAAACCCCTCTGTCTAATTATAAAAACAACTCAAAGCACTTTAAAACTTGTGATTAGAAGATTCCAGTCATTACCGCCGTCATTGCAGAGGAAAGAGTGTGTATTTATTTATATGTTCAGTTTACCAAACGTAGCAGGAGATGACAGTTAAATATATAGACTGTATATAAAGGTTGGACTTTAGTCCTCGGATACTTTTAAACTTCATCTTTCACGTTTTCCCCGAACAATTTAATATTTTTCTGTTTTTAAAATACCAAAGTTCTGTATTTGGACCAGAGGGTGGCTAATGTTAGCTGTCGTGAGTAGCGTGTCAGATCCTTGGACGTATGGGTGCAGCAAATAGACACAGATACCTGCTACCTGGTGCTAATCAACATCCAGTCAAATTCATGAAATTTTACTCACTATAACTGGAGCTCAGACTCCTTGGACAGCCTGTTAGTCACCTCACAGCGGCCATATTATTGGACAGATGATGTCATTAAAAATGCTCCAAAAGGCTCCAACAGCACAAACACGGTCCAGAGGTCCAGTTCAGGGTCTCGCCAAGAGGCCGCACCCCTAAAAAAGGAAAGAAATTTAAGAAATGAACTAAAGTGACTAAAACAGTTTTTGCAGATTTACTGCTGGAGCCTCTAGTGGACATTAAAGGAACTGCAGTATTTGGTAGATCAAAATAAAAGTTATGTCTCTTTTCTCCAAATATTTAGACAAGAGCTTCTAAATAACTGTCAAACTGCAGCCATGATGCGATACCAAGAGGCTTCTAGAGGCACTTTAGTTAAACCAGCAATACCAGCACCATTACAGCACTGATTAGTTAGAAACTGGGACCAGTGTAAGACCAGTTCCCACCACTGAAAAATGCAATGAGAAGTTTGCTGTCACAGCTGGAATTGAAATATAATGGAGCACATCTGTAGATAGTATATATCTAAGGAAAGTCATAGTTGATCTATGAGTTGAAGAGAGAAATGGGAAAATGAGGAAAATAGTGGAATACATCTCTAAACTGGGTCTTCGGATTTTAAGATTCTGAGATTCATTCGAAGCATCCTGAGGCCGTCATCGTTATTATATTGACAAAGGAGGGGGATGAGGCAAAGTGACACTTATTAATTGATATGAAACAGGCCGAGTCTTTTCCTGTGTGGTGTCACTGGTGATTTATGGAAGTTATTGGAGCCTGTCGCCTAACAAAGGTGAGGATGTGGCCGTATGTTCACATCAAAATTTTAGACAGATTTTAAGCAACGTTTCCAAAGTTTGCTTTTGCCGACTGTAACCTGACCAGAACATGAAAGGCTTACCTCATGAGAAGGTCCTCTTGTATAACGTTAAACTCTTTTTAAACCCAAATGAAGTGCAGAATATATTAAGAAGAGGATGCTGAATAATGAGGGAATATTGCAGCTCATCAAGATTCATCCTAACTGCAGATAAGAGCAGATTATTTCATGTTGTTTATATCCTGCAGCGAATGAAAGGAATATTTGAGCATCCAGAAGAAAGGGAATATTTTGGTGCATGTGGGGCGTTGCCTCTAATTCTCTGCTTCATGCAGAGCAGTTAGTTAATAATGAAAGTTCTGCGATGGTTTCATCTGTTAATGCCATCTGGAAGAGCAGGAGTGATGCATGGAGCAGAGGTGGATGATATGATGTATTGAGCGGGGTGACCTTGCTTCCCACACAAGGATACGATATGTTAATCTGCCTTCCTTTGGGCCCGACATGCCTGCTGCTGGGTTTTATAACACGCAGCTGCTCCTCAGTCAGATCCAAGTCTGCTCTTAATGAAAAGTGAAACAAAAAAAACAACTCTTAATTTGATTAGACGGAAAGAGTCAGCGAGAGCGAATCGAAGCCAGGATTCAAGTCCCGCCCACTCCAGCAGAACCAGACCCACTTGAGAGATGACATGACAAACGCCATTTATTTTTCTTTACATCTGTGTGTGTCATTAAGCTCAAACATACAGATGATGCGCGAACATGTAGCTGGCTATCAGTGGTGACTGCATGGGTGCTGTAAACTAATATAAACTCTTTGGAACAGGGAATTATGAAAACTGTGACTGGGACTCAGACGTGCGTACCATAGGAAAAGATTACAGCAGGGGTGTCAAACATGAGGCTCGGGGTCCAGAATCAACCCAGCAAAGACTCCAGTTCAGCCTCACTGGACATCGAAAGGAATAAGCTTTGGACTCTAACTGTATTTTTATGCTACACAAAAGTTATTCGATTATAGATTAAAATGTTTTTTTCTATCTGCTACAGAAATGTTTTATATTAAAATATCTGAAGGATCAAATGTGTCGTTAAACTTCTTTAAACTGACACTTAACATCAAAGTGTGCTGCATCTGATCCACGATGTAAGATGGGTCTGACATCCTGGAGTTTAAAGAGGTTCAGCTGCTGGGCCACTTCTGTTTATTTTCATATGCAAACAGACTTTTAACTTTTCATGAGACCCTTCGTTGTCTGCTCTCATCTTATTTGCCAAGTTACATTTGTCAGAAAGGTGTGGGTAGTTATCGTCTTTGGTCCCAAGACTTATTTTGTGCGAACGTTTGCACTAAATTCCAAAAAAAATGTAAATTTGCAGCCTTAGCTGCTGCATCTTTTTGCGTCTCTCAGCTTTCAGTTTTGTAACTAATAACTGAAAAGCTGGTGGGTTGACATCAGGAAGCTAACTGGGCCATCAAATCTCATTTCGTTTCCTTGGGAAAGTCTTGAGTTGCTTTTGCTTTGGGTAATTATCTGCACTGTGAGGCTCTGCCTGATCAGCTTTGGCTGAATCTGAACAGGAAGTTGAGCTCTGCTGCTTCTATCAGCAGTCGGTGATCAAGAGGCACCAGTGACCCGGTGCCATTGGCAGCCACACAGTCCAGTGCCATAACACTACCTCCGCCATATGATGTGCTCTGCTTCAGATGATGTTCTCCGTTCTCTTCTTGTTCCATCATTCTGCTATAATTTCATCATAATTTCTTCATCTGTCCAAAGATTTCTTTCATTTTTCCAGAACTCTGCCGACTCTTTAGATGTTTTCTGACTTGCCTGATCTTGAGTCTAATCCATGGTTTGCATGTTGTTGTAAAAGTTTTTTCTTTTCAGTATTTCTCAGCTGACTAATGCATTTTATTTTTATTTTTAAGAATTAACCAGTTTGTTGAGTGTGTCACATCTAAAGGTTTTCCTGCATCTTTGAGAGACTTATTTTGTTCAGCTTACTAATGGCCTTGTTTTCTTCCACCGATATCTCTTTGGATGTTGGGTTCAGAGTTCTGGTGAACACTTGAAGCCAGCTCCAGATCTTTAATCTGCTTAATTTGTCATGGAATAATGAGGGACTTGGTCTCGCTTGGCAGTGAAACTGCTTGGCTATTGTCCAATTACTTTTGGTCCTCTAAAAATGGGGACTTGTTTATAAAAACGGCTACAATGCCCGAACAGGTAGTGGAGCACTTTGGGTAAATGTCTTGAATGAAAGCTGAAAGAGGCAAAATAGGGAAAAAATGTCATTTTCCAAAACCTGGATACATTTAATAAATGAACCTGATTTTTCAACTGTCTTAAATATTAGCCAAATTAGAGGTAATATGATTAGATAACTGGTCAGAAACTCAGTCACTGGTCAGTCTCCACCAATGGCAGAAACAGATATTTTTACACCCTTGTACAAAAGGTCATTAAATGTTTGGTCATTACTGATAATTTTACCGTTCGTGGAAACTTGATGCTTGAAATAAAGGGCATGGCCTTAATGGCTGACAGCTGGATAGTGAAGCGGGTGGTTATAGTTGTAGCTGGTCCTGGTACTGTGCTCACAGGCCATCCAAAAGTCTCCAGTTTCTAGGAATTTCAGGAATTAATTTGGAAGTTACTGAGCAGGCCTGTCTGTCTGTGTCCTGCTCCCATACAGTCTATGGATAACTAAGCTAGTTAGTGTTGGCCGAACACTTAGCACTCCACCCTCTCATCCAAATTTGGACACTTTCAGCTCCTAAAATGTGATAAAACTGAAAGCCAGTTTGATCCCAGGAGAAGACACAAATCCCTTTGGAACACTCAAACCTACCTGCTGGGGTGACAGCAGGTAAAACCAAGTATTGAGTATCAGGTTAAACTGTTACAGCAGCATTAATTCATCAGAATTTGCATTTGATGACATGAAAATGTTTTTAAAAACTCTAAAACCCAAAAAATGAAATGTATTAACCCAAGAAACTGTTGACTTCACACACCACTGACAAGCTCAGGAAAACACACACACTCGCGCGCACAGAGTAATTAAAGGTGTAATTATATCATTTACATGAGACTTGGTCTGATGAGCTGCTTCCTTCCTGTTATCAGGAAGTGTTGGTTTAGTCCTTCACATTTTATTTTCTGCCTTCAGTCTAATGAAGTCTGCTCAGTCTACTGGTGCATATTCAATAAGACAGAAACAGGGGAGAAAATTGTTTTTGGTCAATATTGTTGCACTCTGAATTCCCCCGCAGGCGATTATACCTCTGGAATTTGTTTGTATCGACTGTGTGGAAATTACAGCGGCGGCTAATAAGAAATCAGAGAGCGTGGAGTCAAATTTGTGCGACCTGCGGGGTCACGCCGGTTACAGGGTTTCGAGTCAGAGCAGCGTCTCTTGTCATCTTTCATCTCTCGCTGGGAGTTTGGTGTGATTAAATAAGCGGATTGATGCAGGACGAGCTCGGAAGCATCTGAATAAAATCTGCTCGTGTGGCTGATGAGAGAGAAAGTTTCCGAGCTGCTTCTTTGTGTCAGCGTTGGGCTGCCGCTGCACATGTGCTTTATTTTCCTCCTCTCAGCACTTACACTTCACATTGGGAGAAACTCACATGAGTAGAAGACACTTTGTGCGCTGAACTGATAACTGACACAGGGCACGCTGGCCTTGCTCGTACTGGGAGATATTCATCCTGTTCTCATTTCCGGGGTGTCAGATTCTGCTGCTCTGTCAAACCTGCTCGTATCTCCACAAGCACAAGGCGTCCTTCGGCATCTGTGCCCGACGAGTCTCGCAGCACCAGCTCCTGACATATAAAGCACCGGTGCATTTAGGTTCAATTTATTCGTTATATATTTTATTATATTTTCAGGTAATAACATCTTTAGATGTTTAATAAAACTGGTGAGAGTCTGGTTTCCGCTTCAATAGCAGATGTCATATGAGCCAGTCAGGTGCTCTTTTAGTTTGACCATCAGGTATTTTCATTCATGCGTTCATGCATCCCTCCACCTTTTCCACCTGTCGGTCTACCCTAGCCATCCATCCATCCTTTACCAATTATCAGGTCCCCATCGCAGCAGAGACATCCTGGGTCTGTCCCAGGACCTCCTCCCAGGAACACTTGACCTAGGAAGCATCCAGGAGGCACTTTAGTCAGATGCCCACGCCACCTCCTTCCTTTTGATGTGGATTGATTTAGTCTGAGATCATCCCACATGACTGAGCTCCACCTTATCTGTGTCACTGCTCGTGTGAACTGTGATGTCAGTGCACCCGATAACTGTTGTTTACTTCTAAACAACAAAACAAACAAACTAAATTTGTTGTGCTGGAATGCGAACAGGTTTCTCCTGCTTATCTGACAGCAGTCTAAGCAGAGACACACAGACTCTTCCTCTTTATCTCCATGGTGCCAATATTCAAATGATCTGTATTGGCTAAAGTGGATGGAAGTGTCGTTCCCTGACTTTAAAGCAGTGCTACCACATGAAATACACAGTCTGGCTTCTCCTTTGCAGTTGTTTGAAGTTAAAGATGCTCGTTAAGATTCATTAAGGAGTCTGAAATGATTATTAGACCGTTTGGAAGAAATATGTCCACGTGGAGACGATGACATGGATGAAAGGTTAGCATCCTGATGCAGAGGAAACAGTAGTTGGTTGCCACCTTGCCTAGAGAAAAGAGCAAAGACAAAATTAGTGATCAATATTCCCAGTTTGGGGGTTTTGAAGCTCCGCACCAAAACTCACTGACATTCAAATTGAAAATTCAGCCTGGAGGTTGTAATTTTACCTCCTCTTCATCCTCAGCAGAGCAGAGCGGAGAGGAGCAGATAATCCTGTTTAATTCTGTGTCGTGAGGAGCTTTTTGCCTTTTTAGAAATAATACGTGTGGAGAAAAGAAGCGTGGTAGTAAGAGCGGACCCCAAGGGCAGCTTCTGCTACAGGATGACATCTCTTCTGTGCTTTAAAAATGTCATACGGTACAGCGGGGTTGTAACAGCTGTTCATCATCCTTTATAATGTCTCTCTGAGCTCTGCAGGGTTTTTTTCCTGTCTATGACCAGAGGGCTGAAACACCTTCCTCTCCTCCTCTGGGATGATGAGAAACAAATAACCTCACCTTGTTTTGAGCTCTAAGTGCATTGTCCTCACTACAGAGGAGAGATGTGTCATTATCCAAGAATTCATCAAAGTTTCATCACAGGTTTGTGGCTTATTGGACAGCAGATGAATGAATGGCTGAAGTTGGAACAAATGGGAGACAAAGTTTCTCTCCAGCGTTTTGAGCCCCCCTAGCTTCAGAAGTCCGGGACGCATCTATGCGAGGTCTGTCTGACTGAGCGGTCTGTTGGTGTCTGTAGGCGTGCTGTGGTTGTCCGTGGTGTCCGAGGTGCTCTACATCCTGCTGCTGGTGGTCGGCTTCAGCCTCATGTGTCTCGAGCTTTTCCACTCCAGCAACGTCATCGACGGACTGAAACTCAACGCCTTCGCCGCCGTTTTCACCGTGCTGTCCGGTAAGATGCAAGTTTCCTTTCTTCTTCTTCTTCTTCTGCTTCCTCTTCCTGCTTTTTCTCTTTTTTATTCTTCACTTCTTCTTCTCTGTTGGTTTTCCTGGCAAAAGATAATTCGTGTCCAGTGAAATTTGGCATCAGGAACATCCTTTAAACACCACTGGGCATCATTTACATTTATTCTGAGTATTGCAGTGAGAATCAGCAGCAGAGCGGACAGAGCCTGAGGCAGATTTGTGAGGTCGTCCAGGGTCAGAGGTTATCCCATGGCAGCCTCGGATGTGGCGGTGCCAGGGATTTTTTCCCCAATTTACGTTAAACCTCTTACACAAGAAGCTGGCGATGCGTCCGTCACTCTGCTCCTCTCAGAGGACAGCGGCACATTTTACAGCATTTATGCAGCAAACCTCTGAAGCACGCTCCCTTAATCACTTCATATCACAAGTGACACTTCTGCTCTGAATTATGTAAAAACCTCATGCTCATTCTCCACCAGGGAAAGGTAATTGACATTTTGAAAACTATTACACAGCAGAGATAAAAATCCAGGCCTTCCCTCTGCTCACGTACTCCAAAAACCAGGCGTAGCCAGCGAGGGCCGGATCTGTCTGTGGAGCTGTCAATCACACATCAGTAGCTCTGATCATTTACAAAAGACACTTGATGATTTGTTCAGTTTGACCTAAAATAAGCAACAGAGGTCACAGAGAAAAGAAGCCAGGGTCATTTTGCCTCAGACTTTTTACAGCCACAGAGGTCGCCCCCTGGTGGGCACTAAATGGAATGCAGGTTTAAAGCACTTTTACATCGGCTTCACTTTTCAGACCTGCAGCTACATCTAAGGAGACCAACGTGTATACTCCACACCTGAGCCCTGCATTCTCAGGAGCCCAAAACAAACTTCTGCAAAGAGCCCCCACCCCACTGTGAGCCACATAAACTATTTATCACTGCCACAAATTAAGTTTCCCTAAAACGTTTTCCACTTCTTCGTGCTAAGTGCAATACATAATCTCACCAGCAAGTTGTGGCTCTACCCAAAGGCCTACTCGCTGTCTGAGAGCACCCAGGTGGCGTCCTGATTGGATGCCACCTATAGCGGTTGGTCTGAACCCAGCCACCTGATGAGGGCTCCCGCCTGTTTTACCAGGCTCCGCCTTTCCCCTCCCACCCAGCCAACACAAGGGCCAGCCAATCAGAGGAAGCTGAAAATTTAAACTGTGACTCATGCAAATCTGCTCCAGTGGAGTTCAGGAATACAAATATGGAGTATTAAAAGTGAAGACATCAACAAACAGCTTTGATTTACTAATAAATAAATAAAAAGTAATGGTGGGTGTCTTAAAGCTGATGAATATGGAGCATAACCCCCCCCCCCCCACACACACACACACACGTGATTGTGATGTATAACGCCTTCGTTAATGTCACATCGACTCGTTTGCGCCGCGGCGTTTTGACTTTGTTGTAATTCTGCTGACTGATTGTGTCGCTCTCTGTAATTGATTGGATGTTTCCGAGCGCGCCCATTGATTCAATTGATTCTGTATAATGACTAATTATGATCATTACATGTGTTCTGATTCATTACTGTTGGGCTGCAGTGATTTACTGTTGTTTTTGCTTTGTGGTAATTATGTGGCAGACTGTCTCGTGCTGAGGGTTTCTGTTGTTATGTAAGAGCAAGAAAACACACTAATGTGTCTCCAAGCCGTCCTCACAGGGTTTGAACTGACCTGGGACTAAAGAGGACTCATTAAAACAGGAATATTTAATGTGTTAAAGACATTTTGTCTAATGGTGATGCTTAAATGTGTTTATGCGTCCAGAAAAGTTTTTAAAAACTCAATTAGCCCCCCCAGAAAAAGCCTTAGAATAAATCGTGCTGTTACTTGATTTACTGATGGATAAATGTGAAGCGCCTGTCTGACCCTCGGTTTCATTTCGTCATTTATAAAGTTCCTGAACATTAAAGTCAAACACTGGACATTAGATTGTTATTTTCTGTCCTTAACAAGAGCACTTTTATGATCATTTAGTCCCCAGTATGGAAGGACGGAGACGGCGCTTATGTCACAGGTTTATTATCAGCTTAGAATAAAGTCTGACTCTGTGGGCAGTGATGCAGCTGACACACAGTCATTCTCCTGCTCCTGATCCTGTAAAGCTTTAGACACGTAACACACTGATCAGTGATCAATCATTGGTCGTGTTGTAATCAATCACAGGGATGGAAAAATGTCTGTCACAGCTGAACCTCAGAGATGAGTATCTGAGTTAAGAAGAGGCTGAAATGACTTTGAGACTCTAAAACTGAACTAAAATGTACCTACTGATTGTAATCAAATTACATTTAATGTTGAAATGTGTTTACAGACTGAGATTCAGTCATTAAAAATTAAGGTCTCCACATTTCACCGAAATCAGTCTCAGCGGCTTCACAGAACCAGATCCGCCTGAACGCAGTCTTCCTGCTGAAAGGGAGTTTTTCCTCCCCACTGTCACCAAGAGCCTGCTCAGAGGGGGTTGTTACAGCACATGCAGATCAGTTTCATATTATATTTAAGCAACAGTATCAGGCTGCTACCATGGCTGCACAGGGGCACTGACTGTGCTGTACGGTGTGTAAATTTGGCTCCAATATTATGTTTTGATCGGTTTGTGTCTCTTAAAAGCCCTTTTTAATGGTTTCCATAATGAATTTGTGTGTGTGTGTGTGTGTGTGCGTGTGCGTGTGTGTGTGCGCGTGCGTGCGTGCGTGCGTGCGTGCTGCAGGTCTTCTGGGTATGGTGGCCCACATGATGTACACCCAGGTGTTCCAGATCACAGTCAGTCTGGGTCCTGAAGACTGGAGGCCTCACAGCTGGGACTATGGATGGTCCTTCTGGTCAGTCCACAGCCCCCCGCACACATTAACCCCTAACTAGCGTCACCCCAACATTAAACCTGTGTCCATAATAACGTTTAATGACTGTCTGTCAAAGATGTTAAAGTTCTTCATGTTATGGATGCCAAATATTTGATATGAAGAATGGAATGTGTCTGACAGGCCACAGAGTCCATATTTATGTACGAATTCAACAAAATGACACATAGATGTTCACAGACAGACGTCTCCAAATACCTCGTTGTAATGACTGTTGGTGGAGGTGTGCAGCAGCCTGTCAGCAGGTGGTCTGCAGGTACGCAGGGAGCTGCTGTTAATAATTGTCTTTGCTCTCTGCTGAAAGCTGAGCTGCAGCTGCTGAGTTCCAACAAAGTCCTTTTTTGAACAGAGAGAAGAAGCGACTGTGCCTTTATAAAGAGGTGCATAAGTGATACAGATGAGCAGAAATAAAGAAGCACAAACATGGATTTCATCCAAACACGAGTAAAGCAGGACAGAAGGAGGGAAACACCTGGAACGAGAACACCTGCTCCTGTTAATAGAAAGATTTTCAGTGTTAGTCATTTAAGCAAAAGCCTCCATTTACCACCACGAGGGAGCCATTCAGGATCGTTAAAGTGGAAAGGAGGATTAACCTCTGCTGGAACAGAAGGCCAAAACGCTCCTTCAGGATGAATGAAACGATGATGGACGCTTGATGTGCACTCAAACTTTCTGCTTAAAGCTCCACTGAAAGCAATAACCTTAATTTGATTGTAGCACGAGCAGTGTTATAGAAATAAGAGAAAACGCTTAATATGAAGACGGAAAAAACCACAAACAAAGCAGCTCTTCATCTGCTGGCAGGAGGTCGCTGGAAGGTTTTCTAGCTCTGTGCTTTTAGAACAGTTTGTGCTGAAGACACAGAAAAGGCCGAGTGTTCTTTCACGGGGAAACAACCTCTGTGTCACGTTCAGACAAACTCATCAGGACTGAGCGTAACCCCTGTTACGCCTCTACTGTGAGGATCTTCTTTATGCTTTGCAGTAAGAGGAGTCTGTTTCATTTATGTTGTTAAAGACATTATAGTCCAAATTATTTTGGATATTTTTTAATAACCCCACCACATCTACCTCTGGTTCTTTGGTTTTCATTTTAATCATATTTAAAGACAAAGAAAAATCCCCTGAGAAAAGGCACCGGAGCTTGTGGAGGTACGGTGTGTGGCTGACGGAGCAGACATGCTCAGGAGGGATTTGGTGAGAAACAAAACTCAGGGAGGCAGTAAAAACTGCAGTTCCTCTAGCGCCCAGCAGGGGCTGCAGGAGCAAGTCCCCATAGACTCCCATGTTAAAATGTCCAACTACAGCGAAACAAACATGTTTACAGTCTGATTTAAAACAAAACAGACACACACACAAAACAAAAACAAAATTGTTGAGGCTTAAAGTTGGGGGCGTGGCCTTTTTGACTGACAGGTGCTAGCTGGATGTAAAGCGATGTCCTTTTAAAACGCTTAAAAATAAACGTCTGGTGCTTGGTGTGAAAATTCAATTTAGTTTCAGTTAGTTTCTACAGAGGTTTCAAACTCATTTTTATTAGTTCAGTGTTAGTTTTAGTCTTTTTAATGATTACTGTGTTTGGAGGACATATGCCAAATATTCATTTTATACTTAATAAACATATCAAAGATTCGTCAGACTGTAATATTAAATGTTAACGAACTAAAACGTTGACTATAATAAGCTTGTAGCTCCAACAGTAATCGGGTGTAAAACTGAAATGTAATCAGTAAACAAAAGAAATAAAGAAACGGTGTCATCGACTGAGGGTAATTTATATGTTTTACGTTGCGGTGACTTGTTATATGCTTCACTGCGGTGCTATACGTGAAGATTTATTTCTGTAATTTCATATTGTTTATTTGGTTTTGCCTTTAAACAGTTTCTCTGCTTCCTCTGAGGAACAGTAATGGTTCAGTTATAAACATAATCCTACAAAAGAGAAGGAAAAGTGATTGAGTTTATAGTGTATTATCCAAATTACATCACACTATGGATTCCTGTTGTCCCAAGATAAAAAGTGATGGATTTTATGCGTCATTTTGTTTTATCTCGTGGTTTTCTTGCTCAGCATGTTTAAAGACCTCTGCCTGTTTTTTTTGTGCTGTAGAGCATTTATTTCCCACACTGTTTGCTCAACATTAGGCTCTCCAGAGTCACCACACACTCTGAGGTAGCTGAGCATCGATCATCGTCCTGCTAACATTTGAAGGAATGAAGATGAAAAGCTCAGAATTACATTTCGCGGTCGATTTGGGAACACATCGGTGTTCCCCAGCAGACCTGGAGGCTGGGGGACTGAGCTTTGATGAACAAACGATGCCCTTATTTGTTTGTGCTGAATCGAAAGATTATTTTATTTTAAATAGGAGCAAAAAAATCTATAAGTGTGCAAGTTCTCATTCATTCGGTTCATGGTAGTTTGTGTTGGTAGAAGGTGAAGATGTTTCACCTCTCATCCAAGACGGTTTTTTAGACACAAAAGGTCGAGGGTTCCTATCGACTCCTAGTGGGCGTTGTTTCTGTCTATGTGGTCCAGATGATGGTTGGCCCACTCCTGACTATGCGAGTCGTCACATAACCCACGGTTTGAAAAGGGGTGTGGGTAGTTACCGTCACTGGAGGTTAAGGGTAAAACCACAGGCCCAATCTATGTGACCTACATAAGTCCCGTTGCCTTCTTCTTTCAAGCTTTCAAAATTCTAATTACATTGTTCCAAAGATATATTTCATACTTATTGATTTCTTCTCTCTTATTCCACTCAGCATGGCGTGGGGATCCTTCACCTGCTGCATGGCCGCCTCCGTCACCACCCTCAACTCCTACACCAAGACTGTGATCGAGTTCAGACACAAGCGGAAGCTCTTCGAGCAGGGCCTGCGTGAGGAGCAGAACTACCTGGACCAGGAAGCTTTCCACTACTTCCGGGACCGTTCACTCCAGTCCATCTCCAGCACCGTGGAGGTCTACCCCGGCCACAGCGGCACCAGAGCCGGGCTTGTTGTCGGGGGGCCCGGCGCGGGCCCCGGTCCAGGTCCCGGACCAGGACGTGGGAAGATGAGAGCGGGGTCTGCCTCAATAGACTTGGGGGAGAACACGGACTCACTGGGGGAGGAGCAGTGCTGAGTCACACATTGGAATGAGGGGATTGACTGGGTTGGGGGCGTGGCTACACGATGAGGTGAACTGCACCTTCACATGTGGACCCGGCCGCTAGTTTGTCCACTGTAACTGAAAGCAGAGGCAGAACTTATTTTCTGTTTTAAGAGGACAACTAAAAGGCAGATTAAACATGGATTACAAAAAGAAAATACAAATGTTCTCGCTGTGTGTGAAGTGAAAGTCAGTGTAAAGTGTGAGAAATAGACTGTGGGTGAAAGTAGGCGTTCTCCTGCTTATTTTGAGGTGCTGTGTGTAGTATTTTAACATCAATACATCGTCACAGTTTTGAAAAATGGTGAAAGCCTTTGCTGAATAGCGACCCTTGTAGCAAGAAGCGGAAATTACGGTGGCCCTGAAGTCCAAAACACAGAAGTATTTCAGAAAATACAAGAATGTTTTCATTAAGGTTTCTTCTTTGTTACCAGCAAACACCCTTGAACATCCTTCTTGGACTTTCTGGCAAACACAATTATGTGTCCGCCAACTGTTTAATATTATCCACGTAAAATAAAATAAAATAAAAAATATATATTTATTTATTTATTTATTTATTAAATAAAAGATTCTTGGGAGGAATTAAAGAATTACATTAAAATATAATAATTAAAAATCATCATGAATAATTTATTAATCATTTATATCAAATTAATTAAGAATCAAATGTAATTGTGTTTAAAACTAGATTTCTGATTACGCCACATCCCTCCTGAAGGAGATGGTCAAACATGACTCTTCGTGGAACTTTTTTTTTAAAAATCCAAGAAAAATGAATATTATCAAACTGTTGCTATGAAATGTATGAACAGCTGCATACCCTGTTATTGGACTATACACAGTATAAATGTTATTTGTGGTGTCTTCAGCAGTAACGATAATTTATTCACAGTTAATTTTTGTGTGTGTATGTGTGTGTTTTGCACCTCAGGGCCACCGTAGAGGAACAGCAATATCTAATTTAGCTAACATTAGCCACATATGCTACTTGTCATATCAGACCGAGTTGTACTGCTGACGTGCTCGAGCATGTTTGTCCCCCAAGTCCACTTCGATGGAGTGCGATCGCTTTGCAGTTGGGATGGTCATGATTTTTAAATATTCAAATAGTCATTAAAATATTTTAAAAAACGCAAATATGTTACACAACTTTCTTGTCTTAAAATTGTTTTCAACAGACACAACTGATGCAGTTTTAGAATAATTACTACTCATTATTTGTTACTTTTTTTTTTAAAATGTAACAAATATGTTACTTAATTACTAATTTCTTATCACTTTCTTTGTTGTGGGTGCTGGGCTGTGAACACACTTTACACCACAGGCAGTATAAAGATGAACGTAGTTACTGTGACACCACCTGTTGGTTTTTGAAGACAGAGAGGAGGTATTCCTAATACAGAAGCCCCGCCCACCTGTTGTTCAAATCTTCTTTTTTTTGGTTTAAAAGTTTGTTTCAGATCTATGATGGGCGGGGCTGAGTCATGCAAAGCTGCTGTAGTAGGGTCCAATGAGCAGAAACAGCCAAGCTAAATATGCAAAACATAATATTTTGAGTTCACTCCTTCCTGCGTTTAACAGATGATAAATCATTAAACTACATCATCCCAGCCACATTTATTTGGCCCAGTAGTGAACAAGCCTGCAGTAGACATGCTATTAGATTAACACACTGGCTTTGTAGCTCATGTGAACTCTCGATTTTCCAGGTCAAATCAGTCCCTGGAGAATCTCCCGGGCAAGCAAGACTGCCAACCGATCAAGCATGCTCCAAGACATGCTTCTTTGTGAGCCTCGGTATCTCTTATCTGATGTAGTCTGCAGAAAGATGAGGCAAAGTTTAGCGAGAGAGAAACACAGAAACTGTGGGAAATCAAGAAAAGCTGGCTTCAGGACAGGAAGCAACAGAGATTATGATTATTTTTGGCCTGAGTCAGATTAAAATGAAATACCACACGTTGCACTTTTACAGGTCGTGTTCAGGCCACATCCTGTTGCTGATGCTGAATGTGGAGCTGGTGTTTAAACTAAAATCTTGAGCGCTGAGGGTTCAGTCCAGTCTTCTCTTTCATTTCTTTGCCTCCATCAACCACCAGCTTCCAGGACTGACAAAAGAAGCCACTGAAGAAGACCTGCAGTTTCTTGAGTCAGTGTTTGCAGAGACATATGTTAAAATCTCCAACTTTACTGCAGTAATGCACATGTAACCCAGGCTTTAGGCTGATAAATTAGTCCACCACCATCTGATCCACATGCAGCAACTTCTGGTCCCCAAAACAGTCCACAAGTTGCCATGATTACACATGATCTAAAAAAGGTGCTTTATTTTACTTGTGAATGAATGCACTTTATTATTTTTACTAATTACAGTTATTTTTCCAAAGAAATTCTCAGTTGAATGTTAACATGTTAAATTTCACTAGGAAACACTTTATGGATAAAGATCTACTGGGTAAAAGAAGCAAGGAAACACAATGAAAACACCTCGGTACACATAAAACTGTAATATTGGAAAATTGTGCATAAAATATCAAAGGTAACAATGTTTCTTCTGCAGAATAATGTCCATAAATTAAAGGTAGAGTGTTGATAAAACAACTGGATAAACATTTCAGATTCAGTCATTCGCACGGATGCTAATCCGAGCCTGCATCCGCTCAACTCGCCTGTTTTATGGACATGGTGAGCGCTGCCGTCCTTCATCATCATCACAGCTTTCCTAACTAATGAATGTATCAAAGGAGTTATTAACAACTTTTAAAACTCCATCTTCTCTACATCACACATGTTAGCAAGAAGCTCGTTTACCTGCTAATGCTAGCTGTGTGTCCATACAAAGTGCAGGTGGTTACTGATCTCAGAGCAGTAACAGCTGAGCCAGAGGCAGTTTGCTCTCCCATCAGTTTACAGTAAAAACCAGCAATGTGCAAACCACAAAAAGCTGCTGGAGACCAGTCCAATCACCGCTGAGACAGATCAGTTGGTGGAACTACTCAGTGCAATCACCAAGCAGCTGTGATTTTTCAGAGTTCAAAGGAAGTTAGCGTCCTATTCTTAATAACTGACCCATAATACACATACCATACATAAAAAGTGCTGATAAAGGCTGTGGAGACCTTACCTGTTTCCTTCAACGTGTGTCTGACTGGGAGGTTAATAATCTCTCTCTCTCTGGGACTCCATTTATCCTGATTTAACCCGCTCAGCTAATCCTCCCTCTCTGCATGTCTGCCGGCCATCACGCTCCACAGAGTCCATTCATCACATCAGATGTTATGGATCAAAGCGAGTCTAATCAACACATCTGTAAGATGTGGGCGGGAGAGAAATCCATAAATGCAGGTCGGCGTGGCGGAACAAATCAAAACAGTTCAGGTAATAATGCTAATTAGTTTTTAAAATTGGAACTCGGGATTTCATGCACTCGGATTAGTAAATTTGCCCTCATATTATTTAATTTTCTCCCATGAATGAATCATTAGAGTGCACATGAACAGTCTGTGTAAAGAGATATTAAAAGACTTATAACAGCTGAAGGTCTAAAAAACAGATTTTAATGTCAGTCAGTGAGTTAAACATGGAGATAAAATTCATTGATTTAAAACAAATTCTATATAAATGATACAGTGTACTTAACATTTAATTAAAAGATGATATAAATATTTAAGTAAATACATTCAATGCTAATGTTTTTTTTAACAGACACCGGTGTACAGAGGACTCACGACCTTCCACAAACCGACCGTTTTCAGTCAGGCAGCTTTAGACGTTCTGTTTGGATTACGTTGGCCCCAAAATCTCAGCCAGAACAATCCTCGCTGTTTCCAATCCATGCGCTTACATAACACACACACTGGGCATCTTCAGGCAGCGCTACACTGTTAGTGACTGTTCTCGTCTGTTCAGGTGACTAACAGATTATTTGTTTTTTTCTCAGTTTTCTTATCTTGGTTGAGTCATTTCATCAGATTTTTACATTACACATATACCAATAAAATCCAGAGACTGTATAAAGAAGATGGACATAGCCACCGTGATGTCATGATGTCTGTGGGGAAATTCCTGAAGGCCAGAAAGAGACTTATGGTCCTACGGAAGTCTGCGGGTAGAGGGCAGCTCTGGTTCTCTGTGACATCAATAAAAAACCTTCTGACTTTATGGGCTGAATCCCAGGTCTCAGAACAAACTGAATAAAACATGAACTAATATCAGAAAATCATCACGGAATATGGAGCTGCCAGGCAGGAGGAAAAGAGTGAAGATTCATAGATGTAGTCAAGGAGGACATGGAGAAGATTGGTGTGGCAGAGGAGGATGCTGGGATACTTCTTCACTTCTCAGTAGTACATGAGGGGTGTGATAGGCTCGGGAGCCGCCACCAGTACCCTCCTAGGCTTTCCTCAATTTATGTTCAAGCCATTCATAACTTTTATCTACTAAAAAAACACTGTCAACCCTAAACCCTGTTGGTAATTGACTTCATCATGCGACGATCAGTTGACCCAGCTGGCATCGGTGTGCCCTGGCACGAAGCGCGTAATCTCACTGACTTGGACTTCGCAGATGACGTCGCCCTGCCGGGCTCGACTCAGGAAGACCTCCAAAGGTTGACCACGGCCCTGCAGAGGGAGGCGACGAAAGTTGGATTAAGAATCAGTGCCAAAAAAACCAAGGTACTCCGAGTTGGCTATGCACGTGCCCGCATTCCTGTCATGATCAAACAACAACGTGCTGAAGAGGTGGAGAATTTTACATATCTTGGCAGCATCATCTCGAATGATAGGGTCTCTGATCGGGATGTCGACGCCAGAGTAGGGAATGCAGCTGGTGTCCTGCGACGTCTCCAACCTATTTGGAACTCGACCTCCCTGAATGTCAGGGTCAAGATCAGACTACTGAACTCTATCGTCTTCCCTACTGCACTTTACGCTAGTGAAACCTGGCGCTCAACAAGTGCAATTATTCAACACCTGAACGTGGCCTGCGGCGAATCCTGAGAATTTCCTACCGGGACCGAATAACAAATGAGGAGGTCCTACGAAGAGCAGGCACCCGCCCATTAGCCGATGTTGTTGCAGAAAGGCGCTTCCGCTTTGCGGGCCATATTTTACGCCTACCCCCTCATCGCCCAGCTAAGATTGGCATGACATGGCGTCCACGCACTGGCAAGCGAAAGCAAGGCCGACCAAAGACCACATGGCGTCGAACATTCACGGACGATCTGAGAACTGTCGACATTGCCTGGGACGAAGCTGAAGCAGTCGCTGCTGACCGACATCGATGGAGATCACTAGCTGCCCGATGTGCCGCCCGGCGTAGGAGGAACTAAGTCTAGGACTAACCCTAAAATGAAGACGTGGGCACAGCTAGTGAATCACAAGTTGTGGGGAAAAATGTGGCTGGTGAGTGGTTTCTGGCTGTCATGGGTGTAAACATTGGGTGGTTATAAAGAGTGTGCTGCACCAATCCGGTCTTCAAGTCTGACGTCATTAGCCGTGCCTGGGCCCAAACACTGCTGCAGGTCCCGGAGTCAAATAATCACTGCAGCAATACCGAGAGTTGAAAAACTGTCTGAATTCTTTCATCTGTAATCATGGGTATCCTTCACTCTCATTGGTA